CATCACTCCTACTCTCGTCTGGATTATTTTTTGGTCAGCAGCTCACTGCTGAACGACATTTCAGACACTGAGATTCACCCTATAGCTGTCAGCGATCATGGTCCTGTATCTTTAACACTAATGCACAAGAATAATACTACGCCAAGAAAAAACTGGAGATTTAATATATCACTACTTAAAGATGAAGACTTTATTAAATATTTTAAAAAAGAGTGGACTTCATATTTGGACTATAATGACACTCCCGAAACATCAGCTTCTGTTCTATGGGAAGCAGGGAAAGCTGTGATGAGAGGTAAAATAATTTCTTTCTCATCACATAAAAAGAAAAAAGAAAACAAAAATATTCAGGAATTAGAAAAAAACATCAAATCACTAGAAGAAGCCTACGCGTCCCACCAAGATCAGGAAACATTGAACAAAATACGCAAAACAAAACTAGAATTAAATGAGATAATTGATAAAAAAACAAGATTCTTAGTACAAAGACTACGCCTACAAAATTATGAACATGGTAATAAATCCGGTCAATTTCTAGCAAACCAGCTAAAAATAAATAAATAAAAAACAACTATATGTGCTGTTCAAGATTCATCTGGGAACACAATATATGAACCGATACAAATAAACAACATTTTCAGGGATTTCTATAAAACGTTGTATTCACCACAAATAAACCCATCTAAAAAAGAAATTGATCAGTTTTTGGACAACATAACTCTTCCAAAATTATTGGACACTCGAGCAATGGCACTGGATTCACCACTGACACCAGGTGAACTCCAGGAAGCCCTGATAAGTATGCACAATAATAAGGCTCCAGGTCCAGACGGCTTTCCTGCAGAATTCTACAAAGAATTCTGGTCGATTCTAGCACCAGTTTTCTACAGAACGTTGTTGGAAATTAAAGAAAAGGGCAGACTTCCATCAAATATGAATTCTGCAAACATTAATCTCCTGCTAAAACCAGGCAAAGACCCTGTATATCCCTCAAGCTATCGTCCAATATCCCTTATAAATGTAGACCTTAAAATAATCTGCAAAGCTCTCTCAAAGAGACTGGAGAAAATAACCCCCCTCTTAATTCATCCTGACCAAACTGGTTTCATAAAAGGTAGGCACTCATCAACAAATACTTAATTTTTTTTTTTTTTTTTTTTTACCTTTTAATCTTTTATTATTCTAATAATTCTTTTTCTTCTTCTTTTTTTTTTACTGTTGGACGTCATATGTCAGAGGTAATATTTAAAATCGGTACAGGTATTATAATAAAAAGAACATTTCTCAAAGTGTTGTAGATATCAGATTTTTTTTTTTTTACCAAACTAAGAATTGCTAAAACTCCTTCTTCTATAGTTTCATTTTATTTGTGTTAATTTTCCAACTTTAAAAATTCATCAGTTTTTATTATTATTTAATTTTTTTTTCACATTTAGTTTTCGTTTCATTTTAGTTAACTATAATCACCTTGGTTGGTATTATTAGACATAAACCTTCAGTTGAAGTAGTTGTATTGTACATATAGGTCATATTTATTATACGCTTGGTCAAAATGATATTAGTGATACTGGCTGATGTGAAAGGCCATTAGTAACCTACACTTGTAGAAAATATGTTGCCTCTATGGATGTTTATCAAAAAAGCTGTTTATCAGCAGCTCCATTTCATATCAGCGAGTAGCCTTTCCTCTTTGTTCCCTGGTGTTCACAGATGCCTGTCACGTCACCATGAAAAGACAAGAGAAAGGGAGAGCATGACACAGATGCATCCCCCCTGACTGACAGACAAGCAGGCTGAGAGGTGTAGCTGATCCCTGAGAAGCACTGCGGGCTTAATATCCCCTCTATATCCTCTCCTTGCGCCGTCTGGTGCCACGAGGCTCAGGTCTGACGTCAGTATTATTTCTGTCCATCTCTTGGTCAGGGAGGGTTCATCATTTCAAATGCATTATTCACACCGGCAGCATAAACCTAGACAGATCTTATCTCAATAGGGCAAAGCAACCATCACCCCTGGCACACTGGCTGCATAAACAGAAAAGGCTCTGGCTTCACTGTTTTTCACAAATACTCACAGAAGGACTTCTCAAGAAAAAGGAGGGACTTCTGGGAAACCCATGGTCTTTTTAGTTCTGATGTCTTAAATGGTCCTACAAACAATGTCAGGTTATTTTAGTTTACTTAATTTGATAGACTACTCATACAGTAAAAACCTAGAAACTACAATATTCTCTTTAGATGCAGAAAAAGCATTCGACAGAGTTAACTGGAAATTTCTATTTGCAACTTTACACAAATTTGGTTTTGGATCCTCTTTCATAAACTGGTTAAAAATAGTATATAATTCCCCAACAGCTTGTGTTAGAACAAATGACCAGACATCCTCCAGCTTCTGTCTCTTGAGGGGCACCAGGCAGGGATGCCCACTCTCCCCTTCACTGTTTGCAATTTTTATTGAACCACTAGCAGCAGCAATTAGACAGAATTCAGTAATTAAGGGCATAAAATGCAAGAACGTGGAACATAAAATCAGCCTTTATGCGGATGATGTGTTACTCTTTCTCCAAAATTCACAAACCAATATCTCTGGGGTGATTGAATTGATAAACTCTTTTGCAAGAATATCAGATTACTCAATTAACTGGTCAAAATCTACAGTTCTACCGATTAATTGCTCCCTCCATAATTCCTCTTCTACACCACTGCAATCGGGAAATATAAAATATTTAGGTATTAATGTTTCTCCCAAGCTTGCAGATCTAACTAAATTAAACCATATCCCACTTTTAAAGAAGGTAGAAGATGATCTGGCTAGATGGAAATGTCTACCCATATCACTCATGGGAAGGGTTGCCGCTATAAAAATGATGGTCTTACCAAAAATAAATTATTTATTCTCAATGATCCCAACTAAACCGCCACAAGATTGGTTCAGATCTCTAGATTCATGTATGTCCAAATTCCTTTGGAAAAATAAACCCCCACGTATAAGCTTAAAAACACTACAAAAGACCAAGGATAAAGGAGGACTAGAACTGCCTAACTTTCAGCACTACTTCTTAGCCAACAGGCTTCAGTTTATCTCAGGATGGCTAAAACACACCCTCTTAGATGAACCTTGGCTAGATGTAGAACAAGCACTCTGCAATAATCTAGAGATCTCAGACCTACCATTTATCAGCTCAAACATCCAACGACATGAATGCTTTAAAAGCATCAACATCAGCGCTTCTCTGACAGCATGGTGGGAGTTTCTAAAATTGACAGCGTCTTCATTAATCCCATGCAAACGTACACCTATCTGGAACAACCCTGACATATTACAAAACAATAATATGATAAACTTTTCAGATTGGAGTGGTAAAGGAATCAAATATTTAGAACATATACTAGAAGGAACAGAATTTATTTCATTTGACAGACTAGTTACACAATATGGGATCAACAAGAAAAGATTTTTAGAATATCAACAAATTAAATCCATAGTAAAAAAGAAATTTAAACCGGGTCAAGTTGAACTACAAACACCACCAAGTGTGGTTCAATTTCTTACTCTTAAAACCCCCAAATTACTATCCAAAATATACAGAATGCTTTCTAAAACAGATGAATCAATATCACTTCCTATTGCAAAATGGGAAGCGGATTTATCAGTTAACTTAGACCTAAACTTCTGGTCTCAGATTTGCTTAAAAACCTTTCATCTAATTAGAAATCCCAGTCTTCAATTAATTCAATACAAAATATTACATAGAGTGCACTATACAGGTCATCGGATGTTCAAGATGGGCTTTACATCTACCAACAACTGCTCACACTGCCAAACCAATTCACCGGACAATTATATCCACGCTCTTTGGTTCTGTCCACCAGTTCAGAAGTTTTGGCGCGAGATATGTGAAGACACGAAGTGTCTGAAATGTAACATTCCAACTTCCCCCTTAGTGTGTTTGTTGGGCAGCTTAGATAATGTCACTTCAGAAAAGAATATCGCCCATATGGTTTTCACTGCCCTATGCATGACCAGGATCCTTTTCTAAGTAGCTGACAGCTGGTAACTGTGCAGGGGCGGATCTAGCAAAGTTTTGTCGGGGCCAGGTAGGGCATTAACAGGGAAAGGGGGGCACAAAGAAATATTTTTCTTTGTTATGTCATTTAAAAACTTTGAATAAATAATTATCTGAATCTTACAACAAAACTGGCCATCTGATTAAATGTATAGAAATCCATTATTGTATATAGTAACTAATAAGTCTAATATACACCCTAGTAAGCTATAGTATTTTTTCCTTTGGGAAGGTACCATCTGTGCAGTCTGCAATTCTGTTGAAGAAAGATGTTGAATCTATTTAATTATTGTAGAAAAATAATTGATTTCTGTGCATTTGTTTTACACTTGCATTAAATTAAAGTTGATTACATCGATTAAGGGCGGGGGGTGGGGGGTGGTTCCCTAATGTTTTTGCTGGGAGTTGGCAACCCTATTAGTTAGGTAGGTAAGTACTTTAAAATACCAGAATAGGGAGGATGGTGTAGGTTAAAATTTATTAGATTGATCTGTGTTGCTGAACTATAAAATGTTTTGGGTGGAGTGTATTCTTTGCATACAGGTATAACAGAATAGCTTCAGTCTCATTTTTTAAAACTTGAGTATGAACTTATACAAAATGCAGCAAGATATTTATAAAAAACAATTTTATTGATTACAAAATATGCTATATCGGATTCATATTGGTATCGGCAGATATCCAAATTTATGATATCGGAATCGGTATCGGACATTAAAAAGTGGTATCGTGCCATCTCTAGTAATTTTAAAAGCTACATAATGTGCATGCAAAATATGAATTTGCAAGGCAGTTATTATATGTATTTTACTATAATTTTCTAAATATTTTAAAAAGTAGAGAGTACAGTTTTATGTATTGGCCTGTTATAAAATTGCATGATGGATAAATCCTTGATTAAAATGGTATGCCAACACACCACAAGCCCCAAATCCATGATTATATTATTTATTTATTATTATAAAAACAAAGTAAACACTTGGGATAATATCACCTCGATAATTTTCACACAAAAATCAGCTGCATGTAGCATTATGTCATTATAAACATAAAGCAATCTATAAAACAAAATCTATCATCCTGAAGTGTTCAGGCTAGTCATAGTGCTAGAGTTCATAGAGGGAAATGAGAGGCTGCACAAGAGCATGTCATCATCTTCGCAGCATTAACTCCCTGTCATCCTCATCTGGCACCATCAGATTATCCACTGAGAAATGAGCATCATCTCCTACACTCTGGAAGAAACGCTCCTCACTTTCGCAGCTCTGAGTGCCATTCACACAGTCCCTGGCTTTCAGTTGTTTCAGCTCGGTGCTGTCGCTGGCATTGCTGTCCTCTGTACTCATGCTGGTGTCACTGCTGTTGCTGCTGTCTTTGGTCTCGTTGCTCTCGTTGCTCTCACTGCTGGAGCTGCTGGAGCTGTCTTTGCTTTCATTGCTGTCATTGGTGGCAGTTGTGGTTTCTATGCTGTCACTGGTGCTGTCACTGCTGTCTGTGGGGTTCACCAGCAGGTTTGTGTCGGGCAGCTCATTGCTGTCCTCTGCGCTAAGGGCTTTCACTGTATTTGTAAACACTCGCACCCAGCTCTAAAGCGGTGAATAAAGAGAGCACTGTGTTAACTAACTGTAACCTCTACTTAAGCAGGTTAAATGAAATAATTTGATAACGTAAAAGATTTATCGCACCTTTCTGACATTCTCTTCACTGCCCATACTATCATCTTTGGTGTCAAGCATGGAGTCCATCTGTGGAACAGAGGTGAAGAAACTGTGTAATTCTGTACTACACATAATACACTAAGTAAAAGAAGTTGTTTTACTTCATCTTACCTCATCCGACTGACTGTCACTCTCTTCTGAAGTCTGTTTGTGGAAATGAAACCCATTTAAGGATGCAAATATCAGATTTATTCCAGGTTTATTCATTTGTATCATCTGATATCCAAGGTTACACCCAGAAATCCTAACAATTTGCTAATGCTTTAAAGATTATGAAATGGAAATAGCAACCTTGTTGAAGGATAACAGTAAAATATTACATGGATTGCTAATAGGACCCACCGTGTCCTCTGATGTGTCCTCTGATGTGTCCTCTGAAGTGTCCTCTGATGTGTCCTCCAATGTGTTGTCTGTGGATTCTAATGATTCTGACTCTGAGCTCTGTATAAAAAAAAAAACAGAGACATTTTCAGTAAACAGAAAAATGATTTTGATCTGTGTGTTAGGATGAAGGTTTTCTGAAGACATTTCAGAACCAAAATAACTCACCTGATTTGAGGTGTTTTCCTCTGTGCTCTGCAACACAGACAGGAACAAAGAGTCATGTGGATGAAACTCAGCAATCAAATGTGATGGAAAGAGTCAGGAAAAATAACCATTTACTCATTACTGAAATAAATGTACACATTACCTGAAGCTCTGAGGTGTCATTTTCAGACGATTGTGAAACAGACACACTTTCAGTCTGGGTAAACAAAACAAAGTAAGCACAGAGAAAAATGTATTTTAATTATATGCTTTAACTGCCGCATCAACAATCATCATTCATTTAGATTTCATTCTTGTCAACCCTTGCTTGGGCAAGCTATTACTGCCGGAATGGAAGCAGACATAAAGTATAGTAAACAATAGTTTCTGAAATGGGAATCATCTTGAGGTCTAGAGAGACTTCCAGTACCCACGCCCATTGTTAGCTTTTCCTGCTGACTGTCTTCAAGGAATTCAGCTTTACTGCAGGCAGACTATATAGTTTAGTAGTTTATGTATAGTTCCTGAAATATACTCAAACGTACAGAAGCTCAAATATATGAAAAGAAAATCATTGCCAAATTTAAACTTGCTAATTTAAACATCTATAAATAAAAACAAAACTTGAAATTTTAAATTATTAAGTTAAACTTTGAATTATTATGGAATTATTTGCTTTCTTTTTTCTCTCTCTTTCCTAGTACCAGAAACAAGGTCTAATACAACTGTGATTTAGCATTTGGGAAAAAATATTAAAAAATGATTTGTGTTTTGAAAATGCTACTTACTGAGTTTGATGCAACCTCGCTTGATACTGAAACAACAGTGTGTAAAATCTGTCAGAATGAAAATGGAACAGATGGTTATTTAATGGACACTTTATTATTATTATTATTATTATTATTATTATTATTATTATTATTATTATTATTATTATTATTATTTCTAAAAATACATATGGTTATGACATGCTTTAGTTCCATGTCACCTGTTATTTTACTAATAGCAAGTAATATTATGCTTATTTGTACCTAGTATTATTATTTTTTTTGTTGTAACTGTGTCCTTGAACCCAGTAATACTTTCAAATAAACAAAAATACACAGCATGGAAGATGGGAGAATATTTCGTCTATCTGAAAGTTATGTAAAAAAAAAAATTACGGTGAAAAAATCTTTCAAAATTGAGACCTTTTTAATAATTGATTTTTGTTTTCTGCTTTCATACTCACCGGGTTGGAAAAGACTGCTCCAATCAGGCAAAATGTAATGATGGGAACCTTCATTCTGTAAAAAAAAAAAAAAAAAAAAGTATGTAATTATTATTCTCATTAAGTTCAGTTCAGTGTAAGAGTAACTACTATGGTGCATTAGCAAAAGAAACTCCCCCCAAAATAGGGTCACATCCATTTGCTCTTGGGTTTAAACTTCTAGATGTTAAGTTACTACAAACCAAACTGACAATTCAAAACTTTCAAAGTTGTGATCACTAAAGTAAGAGTTGTGATCAAAAGTAATAATAATAATACTACATAATCATTTACTCTACCTCAGTTTCAGAGATAATAAAAAAAGATGCAGCTGGTGCTCCTCGTTTAGTCTATAAGGCAGCAAACAGGAGAATCCAGAGTCTGTCCTGAACCTCGAATGGAAGCTTGCAGTTGAAGTAAAATCACGATGTGTGGATATGCTGGAGGGAACTCCCAGGACTACTGTATATAAGTATTCTCATTTAAGGTGATTGCATCACTTCCTTCCGGATGTGTCTTTTTTGTCGTCATGCGAAGGTGTATTTGTTCCGGAGAGGGAGTTCAGAAAACACACAGTGGCGTGATGATGATTGTACACACACACACACACATAGATACTGTGTGCTCTTTTATCCAGTCACAAAATTTCCTACACCCCCTCTCACGTCTTTAGTGAAATATAATTTAGCTCGCTAAACTATAGGGTTTGTGGCCTGTTGAAAAAATAAACTCACCCACTCAGAGAGGAAAAGAGGGCTAGACAGTTTCATGCTTGTTTCCGGTGAAACTTTTTTTTCTTTTCCTTTTCCCCTCCTTCCCTTTCTATTTGGAATTTTGTTTTTGTCAGATGATGGATTACATGGAACAGGTTACAAGTAGTACAAGTGCGAGGGCTATAAAGTTTTCAATATAAGGTTGGTTTAAATTGAGAAAATTAAACACTGCCTTTTATAAAAACTTCACATAAATGGATTAACTTCAGATACACACACACGCCCACACATATACACGCACACTGTGACAAAGTACAATATTAATTCAGTCTATTAAAACAAAAACAAACCATATTTTGCCTTCACTGCTAAACGATGTTATTGGAAATTGTGTTTTTGGAACATTAAGCATGTACAGTATGTACAAGTAAAGGCTTCTATATATATTTCCATCCTGTGGTATATAATCGCTTCCTGGATATACTTATATGGCCAGGCCCAAAATAAGCTTACAGAATTCCTTGTTTAACCTCACTTTGGATTTCAGCTAAGCAAAAGAAACCTGTAATTAGACTGAATGTTCACCAGTCCAGCGCTCTCCACCAAAACCACAGGGTAGGAGTGGAGGAGGAGATGATTGATGCTTGTTGTGATACGCAGACAGTCAACAGTGTCTGCACGTTCACCTTAACGTTACTTAAGGTTTAATAATGTAATTATCTTTGTCAGACAGGCGTTGGATGCATCTGTGGTATTAATATTCTTAATGAAACTAGGCATTTGTCAGACTGGTGCATCACCAGTGTGATCCTTGAGAATGCGTGCAGTGTAATCATTTTCTTCTATTTTTTTTTTGCCTAAATATGTTTGAATTAGTTGCTAATTAAGGGAAAACAATACAAGTTAGTGATGAATAGTGAAATATGATTTTACTAAAAACAACACCATGATTGATGCCACATCGTGTATTTTTTTTACTCTGCATTGTATAAAATAAGATAGCATATTTCCATCAATGCCTTGTGGAATTGACTGATTGATTTACAACATTGTGTAATATAAATCAAAGCTTGTACTTCCCAGCTTTGATGAACAGTGTTACAAAGCAGTGTATTTTTTCAATCAAGAGGCTTGTGTTTAAAGCTGGTGTGTTGATTCTTTGAATATCAATCAATTAAGGTAAAACGGCAGTTTTTGAGCGATTTTGTCATGTCCTTGCTACTCTCATCATTTACCCTCATTATACTGCAGTTTCTTAGCCGCTTTAAGAGTACAGACTTTAGTTTTTGTGACATCTAGTGGCCAAAAGTATGTATTGTTTCTGTCCTAAAACAATGTGGTCATTTTGGTTTGGACTGGGTTCATTCTGCCATAAACAACCTGCCCATAGTACTTTTTCAAATTTTCACAAACAACAGTAACCAGAAATTATGTTCATTATGAGGCTTATCCATCCATTATCAGGGGTACATTTTTTGTTACACTTATACTTGTTTGTTAAATAATCCAATTGTTTCCACAGCATACCCAAAAGTGTGCAAAATCCATTCAATAGAAAGCACAATGAATGCTCCAATAATTGCTGAAATATTCAACTGAAAGTAAACATTTGATTTGATTTACATCTATATAAATAAAATTGAATTCATTATTTTTATAGCGGTGTAATACACAAAAATGTGTCAACGAAGAAATACTACACATCTGAACAAGCGTGTTTGTTTATTGCAGGGGTGGGGGATTCTAGGCCTCAAGGGCCGGTGTCCTGCAGGTTTTAGATATCACCCTGGGTCAAGACACCTGAATCAAATGATTAATTTATTACCAGGCCTCTGGAGAACTTTAAGACATGCTGAGGAGGTCATTTAGCCGTTTAAATCAGCTGTGTTGGATCAAGGACACATCTAAAACCTGCAGGTCATCGGCCCTCAAGGCCTGGAGTTCCCCACCCCTGGTTAATTGAGTCTATTCACCAGGGATTTGAGGTTTTCTGTCTAACTGATATGGAAATCTGAAGTTTGAGTTTGATAATGAGTTTTCTGTTGGCTGATGTCATCAAGGATGAATACAGCTGACAAACAAAGAAACATTACTGACAGGACACATATGAATATGAAGCCCTTCTCTCAGGATCAGCATCATGCCAAGCCCTGTACTGGTGCTGCTTTTCAGTAGATGATAAAATCATTGCAAAAACAGAGTCTGTACAATTCTAAAAAGCTTTAAAGTCAATATTTGGTTTGACCCTCTTTATTCCTCAAAAGAGCCTAAACTCTCTTAGACAACCTTTCTTGTCATTTCTTTAAGCAGTCTTTGGGAATAGTACTCCAGGCTTCATGAAGAACATTCAAAGCTCTTTATTTGATGTTGGCTGCCTTTTGTTCTGTTCTCTGTCAGGATGAGCTCACACTGCTTCAGTAATGTTGAGGTCTGGGTTCTGGGGAGAACAATCCATATGTCCAGTGTTCTACAGCATGTTTTTCTATACAGATATGCTTTTACTGCAGTAGTGCTTTTGGGATCATTTGCTGACAAATGAACCAGATTGTACTGGATGGTAGATCAAAAATCTGACAGCACTTTTCTGTGCTTGTAAATAAATAAATTTTTACAAGATCTCCAACACCACTGGCTGAAATGCTGCCCAAACCATAACAGAGTAGTGTTTAACAGATGGCTGTCGACTCTGTTGCCCACTCTCCTGAACTCCTCTATACATGCATGCAAATTATCTTCAGTAACAAAAATGAAACCTGTCAAAATCTGTTATGAACCCTGGAGCGTTCTTTTTTAAACTTATTTTCATTTTTTGGGAAACAGACACGCTATTTTTTTTTTTTGAAGTATATCGCCCAACAGAAGCTCAGTGTGGGAGTGGGATCCCTTTGTCCGCCTCTCTCTTTATCTCTGTTTCCCAAAGGCCCTCCCAAAGTTAGCAGTGGCATCCTAAACCCTGGAAAAAAAAAACTGTATGTGTGTGTGTGTGTGTGTGTTGAATGCTTAGTTTGTGTGGACAGACTGTGCACTGTCTTGAATACAAAAGGACATCTTCACAGGTTCAGCACAGGCACGCTGCTGTTTTTGCGGGATACTTTTTCTTGCGACTGCCAGCCTCAGGTAAAATCCTAATTTCTGTGACACACAGAGTTTCATTTCTCATTTATTTTACCTTTATTTATACAGTTAGTTCTACTGAGGCTCAATGTCTTCTTTACAAGACAGACCCGTTTCAGACACACATATTGAAATTACAGCAATAAAAGAACCGATAAAATAGCTGGAATTAATAGTGCTTTGCAACTCCATTTATATATAGCAAAACAGTAATGTGCGTTTGACATTCATCTTGTTCACTAACTAGTTACTGCATTTAAACTATTGCTTGCTTTATGTGCGACTGCTGGCTTGATTACTTAGGGCCACAGCTTTATGCTGGTGAGCTATTGATGGCGATGCTTTGATACTTTTGCAGAAAGTGGTAGCACTATTTAATATGTGCTCCATATTTGGAAGTACTAATTTGGTGCATATAATTTAGAGAAATATCATATCTAAATGTTTTTTATAATGTCTATTAATTTTTATTAAAGATGGAGCAATCATGTAATAGAGTAGTTATAATAGTGTCTTTGGTAACTTTTAAATTATTCAAAGTATAAAGACTAATTTATCGCTTTGGTGTGTACACCTTCTCCCCAGCATTACTTTCACATCTCAGAACTGTGCTGAGAGCTATTTTACCAGACAGACCCATTAATATCTTTGTCGTTGGGCTCCAGACACACAAAAAGTTTGTGGACTTAGTCAAATTTTTCCAGTCTGGTAGCTTCTGGTGTTTACTTTAGCTCCGAATGTGACTTTTGAGAGCGAGGTGCATATCAGAGGCCTGTAACCTTGGCGATAGTGGAGGCTGGGCCCATAGCTCTGCTCGTCATGAATGTGCTGGCAGCATACAGATGCATTCAGTTGTTTCCACTTTGAAAGATGTGCCAAGTTCACATCTTTGTTGTGAAAAAGCCAGAGTAGAATGTATTGATAGCTTATGAACAGCTTTTTAGCCTTTAGTGTAATATTTTTCTGAAATATTCAATTCTGTAGTGGTTTCAAAATCTAAAAACTTACATGTTATCCATTTTTAGACAATTTATCCAAGGTTTAAATGATTCACTTTGATCTTACAGGTATGAAGGCCTGCTTAGTATTCCTTTGCTTACTGGCAGCAACATTTGCTCTGTCTGTGAGTAGTAAAGATATTCTTCTTCATAAATCAATGAGTAAAAATGATCAAAGACAATATGATAATGTGTTCACCATACAATAAATATTACAGATGTTTCTTATTATCTTCAGGTGAAAAGTAAACCTCATGGAAAACATCATGGGTTGCATAAGAGTTTGCACACAACCAAAGAAAAGGTAGAGTAACATCTTCTTCATCTAGAGTTTTAAATTCTAATACTAAATGTATCGTGTCATTTTATACAGTCGATAAATATTTTTCCTTTTCTCCTGCTTCAGGATGCTATCACAGTGGAAGCCAATAAGCCAAAGATCTTACCCACTCTAGTCACATTTGAGGCCAGCAGCCAGGAGCAGGAAGACGAGGAACTGAGTTCCGAAGACAACGCTAACAAGGAAGATGGAGAGAGGGCTGAAAAGCGAGAGAAAAGCACTGCAGTTCTGTTGAGTGAAGAAGAACTGGTAGACCTCCTGACGAAAGAGGCTGAAGAGGAAGATGAAGCTGAAGTAAGAGAGCTGGAGGAGGAAGAAGTAGAAGCTGACAAAG